TAGTTTTTGAGATTCACACAAACAATTTCGTGCTGAAAATTTGAATTTCAAGATAAAGTAACCTGAACGACTCGAAACATGTTTCTTATAGGTTTTAGACAATGCTCTTTCCAGTGGCATCGTTTTTAAATATTGAGAAAGTTTCCTGAAGGGTTTTCCAGAGATCGGATCTCTGGAAAACTCCTTAGAAAACTTTTTCAAAACCCAACTCTCATGCCATTAGAAAGAGGCTCATAAAAAACCTATAAAAAAATGGTTCATGAAATTTTAGTTCACTCATAAAGCTAAAGTCCGCCCGCTCCAGCAAAAAATACCTACTGTGCGTCTCATGTTTTTCTATGTTTGCTGTTTCTTTATTGTGAATAATATCCAAGCAGAAATTTTAAAAACATATTAATCAAGGAAGAAAATTTGTCAAGAAAATGTGTGGTTAGTGATCTTAGCGACTCGGAGGGATGGAACTTTTTGTGCGCACCTGTATGACAGTGATGTCGACGGGATTCGATCGTGGTACCTTCGAATAGAAAGACAAATTACAAAGCAAGCTACTTACTCACTCAACTAACTGAGCTTGCTGTTTGCTTTGTACTTTGTCAATGTGTACTTTTAGGTGGGTGAAGAATAACAATACATTCATCTAAAAATACTGCTCTGAAATTGAACAGCGGCGATGCAGATTATCAAAAAAGCATAATACATTTTTCTCCATGTATTGTTACAGACGAGACTTTTTATGAATAGCAAACTGGCATCTGTTCAGAGTCAAAAAAAGTTGATAGTTAGGTGGTGCATCTCATAAAAACATTTCTTTTAACGTAACCCGTTTGCTTTCAAATTTCGTTAAAATAAGACAATGCACTGAAAAATGTTTGAAAAATTGAATTTCAATAGATATTGTAATACTCATAAAAATTATTTGTTTATGTGCAATGTTTCTTTCTGTCTATAATTGCATTTAAGTTAAAGAGCATTCGTCGAGAATACCCGGAAAAGGATAATTGCTAAAGCTCATAGCCCTACGCCATAACCATATTAGGTTATGGTTGATTGGATTATAGAAGTTCTTTTTTATTTGTTCAAGTAACTTGATAACTGTTTTCAAATGTGCCAATGTCTAGTCGCAGCTAGAGTTTACCTACCTTGAGAAAATTAACTGGGACCTAATAATACTAAAAGCACTAGTTTTAAAACAGTTTCTGCGAGCAAAATAGAATTTTTCCGGCTGTTACTCTACATTTGCTTTTTTCCAAAAGTCTTTCACGCCGTTGAAAGTCATTCACTTGTATTGGCAAAGCGCGTTAAGACGCGTTTTTTTTATAAACAGTGCCGGACGCGTCTGAACGCGTCATGCGGCGACGCGTTTAGACGCGTCTGACAAACGCTTTCTAAAAAAACCGCGTTCAGACGCGTCCTTTTTAACAAAAATTCCAGACGCGTCTAAGCGCGTCACGGTACGACGCGTTTAGACACGTCTTGAAGACTTCTCTAGGCAAAGCGCGGTAAGACGCGTTTTTTTTTGAAACCAGTGCCAGACGCGTCTGAACGCGTCGTACAATGACGCGTCTAGACGCGTCTGACAAACTTTTCCTGAGAAAAACGCGTTCAGACGCGTCTTTTTTAATAAAACATTCCAGACGCATCTAAGCGCGTCACGGTACGACGCGTTTAGACGCGTCCTGGAGACTTCTTTCGGTAAAGCGCGTTAAGACGCGTTTTTTTTAATAAAAAGTGCTAGACGCGTCTAAACGCATCTCGGTACGACGCGTCTAAACGCATCTCGGTACGACGCGTCTAGACGCGTCTGACAATTTTTTTCTGAAAAAAACGCGTTTAGACGCGTCTTTTCCAAAATAAACGCGTCAAAACGCGTCTTTTCAGACGCAATCAATTTACATGGGTTCCGGTCCCGTAAAAAGTCCCGCGGGACCGGGACTATCCCGCAGACCTCTACATTCGACTCTTAGTGTAACGTAACGATCATTCGGTTCTGGTAAGTGATCTGTTTTAGGTAGAGATACATTTTACAATATCATATAAAAGTTCATATAACAGCGCAGGCTTACGAGAATTGATTGTACGTTTTCTTTGTTTTATGGATAGTACAGTGCAGAACAATTAGAATTTAGTACCAGTTACTTACGTGGAAAGAGAATATTAATAAGATCACTATTTGAACGGTAATTAAATTTCATTTATTCCTGTGTAACTCTATAATACAAACTGTGTTTGATTTTAGTATGGATAACAAAAAGCAAACACAATACAAATCATCTTTATCCAATGTCAATTTTGACTGCCAAAATAAAATGAGTGAAGGCTTTTTAGGTTAATATATTATTTTGCCCTAGGAGTCACAAAAATATTAGAGCGTCAATGAGGGAATTTACGACACTACAGTGGATTTAAATAAGGGACCAATCTCACACTTTGTGTTATTTTTTGTGTTGGTTTTCTTTAATTCTTGTCACAATCGACTGGAGGTACGATGGGTTGATCCCACAAAGATTGATCTTTGCTGCGGGGACCGCTGGAACCTCTAGCTGGTTTTCTCAGGGTTTCTTTGTACCTAATTCTGAACATTTATAGTGAAAGATTGCGTATAAAATTAGTTTAGAGTTCATTTTGTAAACGGAAATAGATGAAGTAAGACATTAAATGGAAGTGAAGTATACCCACATATCAGATTTTTGATAGTCAATGTTGATAAACAGAGTTTGAGACAAGAGCAATAACGAAAGTTCTGAGCGTTTTTCAAATAAAGTGGTCAGTTGTTACCTTTAACTGTTTTTAAGTAACTGAAAGAGAATTAAAAAGTTAAATAAACTAGGAAATAAAAAGGCAAGTTCAGTTAGATTAGATACGTTTACAATGGATACAACCGGAGAAATGTAACAAAATGGTTTGAACATTGTTTTGGTAAACTTTTATTTTTACTCAAAACTAGAAACGTTTATTGTATTTTTTGTATAGAAAGAAACCAGTTGATAATTTCTATTTTTTGACTATTTGGGATTCTGTAAAACATGTCTGCAACTGAGAGAAGAATAAGACGAAAAAAGAGAGGTACACAAATACAGTGAAATTCATCGTTTGGAGATAAATTATGATCTGATTTTTCCTGTTTCCTTGCGTTGCATTTTGACTCTAATGGCTTCTAGTTGTTTTTCTTATTCCAATAAGAACGAAGAAAAATATAATTTGGTGTCCGTAGCTTCTCAAAAGAGATACAAATCCATATTTTACAATGCATCTGTTTTAATCAATTAAAAAGTATCTCTTTTGAGAAACGAATATTTTGGCAAGAAATTGCGTTTCTCAAAAGAGATACATTTTCTCTCATTTCTATATTCCAAATAAAAAAAGAGGTAGAAGCAATCAAGATTAATTAATCAAGGTAATTAGTACTTATATTTAAAAATTTTAAAAAAGAGTTAATTTGTCAACTATTTGTAAACTGTAAACGTCAACTGTTTGTAAACGGTAAACGTCAACTGTTGTTTCGAAATGATTATAAATAATACTGCTCAAAGTAATGTCTTCTCACTCTTCAAAAAATTATCATGGATTTTGTACGAAAGCAAAGTCAAAAAGGCGCTTCTGCCATATTGTTCAAAGAAAATCTTTTTCGACGTCAACGTATAAATAAAAACGGTTCTGAACGATGGGTATGTACAGTTAGTAGTTGTGCTTCATCGATTAATTTACAAAATGATAAAATTATATATGTAAATGGTACACATAAACATGATAACACTCAGTTTCCTGCACATGTCGATGAGATTGTTCGTGGTATTAAACGAAAAGTTGTCGAAGATCCAAAAACACCAATTCAACAAATTTATGATAATGAACTTATACAATTCGTAAGTAATCTTTTTTTATTACACTGTTTATTGAGAAATCAAAAGCACATCCTTACAGTAATATAAGCCTGTCTATATATAGTCGAAAAAGATATGCAGATACAATAGAAAAGATAACATAACCAACATGATGTAATATAAACAATGATGTAAAATAAACCAGCATATAATTTAAAGATATGCCAGATATAATAGAAAAGATAACATAACAAACATGATGTAATATAAACCAGCATATAATTATATAATAAAAAATATAATGCAAAAGCGTAAAGACGTAGTCCGTTTTAGGTCTTATGACCTAATATCTCCACCCTACAAAAAATTGAACGTCCACGTTCATGAAGAGTTCAAAAGAGATGCAGTCTCCATTTTGTTGGCATATACATCCCAATTGTAGACGTTTCTATTGCATAATTTGATGAACTGAAGACCATTTGGTACGACTTACTGTCACCAAAAAACCTGATGTATGAACCAAACAGTGTTTTCACACACCATAATAATGCTAACGTTTAACATTCATAGCTCGTCCCGATAAAACTAATTTAAATTGTTCTCTCGTAGACAGGTTCCATTCTGCCGACATGAACCTGTTGCTGAATTGTTGCTTGATCATCTTCCACCAAATATGTAATAGGATGTTGTTGTTGTAAAACTTTAAACGGTCCTGAATACAATTCACCAAATTCTGGACTTTTACCAAGTTCAATGAAGATCAGTTCACCGAATTTATAAGTCTGATCCGCTCTTTGTTGATCAGAGCGTTGCTTAGACAATTATTGTTGATGAATAATGTTGTTTTTGGCATTTCTCTTGTAAACCTTCATTAGCTGAGTGATTTGTGTCCGATAATCACTTGACTTATACAGTTAGTGTAATAGTAGATGTTGGTGAATCAAAAGACAAAATAGGTTCACGTGCAAACATTAACTGAATTGGTGAATAGCCCGTTGTATTGTGTAATCTAGTATTATATGCAAATATGCACGCTCGTAAATACTCATCCCAGTTATTGAGATTGCCATCGTGTAATTTTGCTAACTGTGGATAAAATGTTGCATTAAAGCGTTCCACTTGTCCATTCGTTTGTGGATGATATGTTCTTGCGAATGCATGTTTAAATCCCATTAATAATGCAATTTTTTCCATCAATTCATTTTTAAAATGTGTATCTTGATGTGTGAGTATTTTTCTTGATGCACCATATTTTAGTATAACTTCTTCCACAATGAATTGAGCTATTGTTGTTGCTGAATTATTTGGTACAGCTCTGGCGATGACATATTTTGATAAATAACCTATTATCTCTAGCACATACCTATTGTCTTGTGCTGATGGAAGAGACGTTGGACTTCAAAAGTCCATTCCGATAACCTCAAAGATTCCATGAGGTGTTATAATAGGATGTAATTTTTCAGGTAGTCTTCGGCTTCTAATGTTAAATTTGGCACATCGATGATATGATCTAATATAATTTATTATTACAGGGTAATCCACAAGTATTTCTCCTACGAGATACGTATGCAGGATTTTATCTCCCGTGTATATCCTGCAATCTTTTCTGCCCAATGTATGTCCATGGTGACCGTGGAGGAACTTGTCTGTATTTTTATTTTTGGAAAGTTAAGAACTTTTGCATCTTTTTCTTGTAAAATTATAAAAACTTTTCTCGTACTCAGTAAAGTTCTAGAAAATGTATACCTTAATATATTAACTTCAACTTCTCAATGTTTTTATCGAAGTTTTTAAATTATCTACCATTCAATATAGTATTCCCAACTGAAGAAATTAGAATAGTTTGATATCTCTGCTTTGCTATACATCTTTTTTTCACACTAGTGGGATCATTCTAATGACTTTAGTTTCATATTGATGGGAGAAAATAGGATATTCCTGACATAAAAAGGATCTTTCGAGCTATCTATTAATAGTTTGGTATTGTACACATGAAAATGCGTGTTAAAGCCAAAACATTAAGGCAACACATTTTCAGGAAGTTTATTAGACACGAGAAAAGCTTTTATAATTTTATAAGAAAAAGATGCAAAAGTACTTAACCCTTTCAAAAATAAAAATTTCAGACAAGTTCCTCCACGGTCAGATTGCAAGAAAAGATTGCAGGATACACATGGGAGACAAAATTCTTCTTCTTTCAACCAACAAAATCCTGCCAGATCTCGTAGGAAAAAACTTGAGGATTGAAAAAGTCAGAAAGTCTTGCGATGTTTCTTATCTTTACGCAGAATTATTTTCCACCGTACTTCGCCGCGAAAACTGTAGGCTCCTCTCGAGGATGGCAAGAAAAAGAATCCTGCGTAAAGGTAAGAAACATCCCCGGATTTTAGGGCACACACAATCCACGAGTTTCCTACGCAAAATTCTGCAGGATCCTGCACGAATTTTAAATTTTTTTTTATGTCGCCAGTGAACAGATAATGACTGGAATACTGACCTCATTCAAACTACGGTTTCTTTCGGAGTTTATGAATACAAATATATTTTGATTTGATATGCGCACGATCGCTGATCGATTGTTTCGTTTTTCTGGATCTTAACAAACAAACTATCTGTATCATCTATCATTTTCTGAAGAGGGTTCAAGGGAACTTCTTCACATGAAAAACTAGGTTCTTCCGTTTTTGGTCTTTCTGGAAATGGCTGAGAAATAGCTGAGTGAAACTGTTTGTCGGGTGGTTGCCGTCCAATCTGCTTTTTGAGTTCAACACCAACTTTTCAACAAATTTATCTACTTGGGTTTTCAGTTTGTTTGGAGCTCATGAACTCTCGTTGAACGCTGCTTGGATCTTATCTCGCATTACTTCGATTTTACCAGGAAGTATAGCTAAAACTGTTTTAGGATCCTACCAACACCTGATGAGACGGAAAGCATTCGATTGATGTTTGTCCTCTTTGAAAGACGAGGCAAATTAATTTCACAACTTTTAAAATTAGAAGCCCGGTTTTAACATAATTTACCACTACCCAGTTTGAAAACCCTTAATATGATACTTCGCAACCATTTGGATCCAAGGTAATTCCTGCAGTATTGTACCCCCATTACAGACAGGTTTGTCGCACGAATCGAGACATATCTCATTCGAAAGAGAATTCAATTCTAAACAAGAATATCACATTTAAACAGATTTTAAATGTCGGCGCGGGGTTCGCAGCTCGCTCACAAACTTTCGTTTTCCATAGATTCTATAGGGCGCTTGCTAGCCGATTTTCTCTGGGATGACTGAACCGATCGAGCCGCAACTTTTAGGATATATACCAGACATGATGATGAACAAAATATGTCATTGGACCCACCCTCCAAAGCACTCAGGTGCCTTACTACACTCGTTCCAAAACAGGAAAAGCCTATAGTTTTCGGTTCTAAGGTTGCCTTTGTTTTCGCTATAACTCGGTCATATGGCATCGAAAAATTCTTGGTGACGCCTTATTTTGTAGGAAATTGGATTCTTCACAAACTGGCCCAAATTTGAATGTTTTTTCATAGATTCTGAAGTCTACAGGTTTTGTGGAAAATCTGGATCTTCAAAGACTCATAGCTCGGGAACGACAAACTACATATTGGGTTTTTAGTGGATTCATATACTTTTGGCTATCGAGAATACGGGGATAATAACCGTGGTCTATAGTCCATATGACCGAGTTATAGCGAAAACAAAGGCAACCTTAGAACCGAAAACTATAGGCTTTTC